CACCCAGAATCAGGAGAGATCTGACTTCCCAAGCACATTCCTGAATTTAGAGACCATCTAATCCAACCCCCTTCTTTTCACAGATGAGGAAGCTGTGGCCTAGAGAGGTTAAGTGAATTTCACAAAGGAAGTAAGGGGCCAGAACTGGGATTTGAGCTTGGGTCTTATAACTCCAAGTTCAGGATTCTTCCCACCCTACCACATCCCCTTCTTGATTTTCAAGTTCCTTAGACCAAGTTAAAAAATTGACACAGTAATGGGATCCCTTAAAATTATTTACCACTTTTGGCTTGAAGTGTACAGAACAAAATTATACCTTGTCCCCTGGTTATCCATGTTCCTTGCCATCTCTGAACGCTTTGCTTCCCTTGGGTCTGGAGTCAAGGGGCAGGGCTCATGAATGTGGGCTTGGCTTGCTTGTCTCTCATAGATGAGTGAAAAGGGTGAGTGAGGAAGGTGAAAATAAGCTCTTGGGAAAACCCATAGACTATGAGATTTACTGATCATTATCAACTGTTGATTGGGGCACATTTGACAATGAACTAAGCCCAATGAAGTTAACAAAGTTGTGTTTACATGTAGTCTCTGCCCTTGGGGGACCATGCACTGGGTAGGGTTGGGGAGCATTATGGATACCTCAAGCTAGGATAAAGATATATTTTCTGGTCAGCAGTTCTTATTGATCCCTTGGATATTACTATTAATGTGCAAATTGAAGGGGAAGATTTTGCAGGACAGCCTCCTGGGTGGCACATTGGCTTTCATTCTGCCCTCTTGTCCTCCCTAAATCTGCTGAGGGTGGATCATGGACAACGGCTCCCTGGGCTGTGTGCAACCCACAGGCGGTATGTCATGTAGTTCTCTTGTAGACAATGCTCTTTGAATTGGCCCCAAAAGTTATTGCATTGGATTCTCTCCCATTTCAAAAAGCTGAGTACATGCTGTGACTGCAGCACTTCCAGTCTATGCCAGCCTGAGGAGCAAGAGCCTAGGATTGGAAACCAAACCGGAGGCTCCACATGGCAATGAACAGCACAACATTTTGGCTAGAGGCACTGATCATGTTGGGAATTTGAAGAAGAGGTGTTTTTTTTTCAAAGAATGGTTAATATGCATTTATTCCTTCTGGAAATGCATTAGAGTGTATTCTCTTTTTAGAGACAGGATGAAAATGATTTTCATTAAGGCTCTTGATGACCACTCGGAAAAGCAGAGTAAGGTTCATTTGAAATGCCTTCTTGCAAAAGGTAGTTCCTGGAGTTCATTCCAATACGGCTACTCTGTGCATAATATATCTACATTTAAAATTCCGCAGGTGGGGTTACCAAATTTTATCCTTTTAAAATTCAAATCGTAAGCATACATGGAAAAAACCTTAAATGACTTTTCCTTCTTTCCTGATAGACGTTAAGACCCAACAATCTAATTTTGGTGAAATTAAGTAAACCAATTCTCTCCTTGTATAAACAGTCAAATTTTATGGTTGAATTATAAACCTCTGGAAATGGGGGTTTATAATGAAACTCCTATCAAAATATTAACTATAGTTATATGAAAAAAGCTGTTATTAAATAGCATCTTGATGGCTTAAAAACTTTCTTTAAAAATCTCTGTTTATTCATTATAATTAAAATGCCTAAATTATAATGATCTACTAAAAACAAATAGTTTTAATCTTTTCCATAGTTCTCCATATGATGTTAATGCTCTGTACATTAGTATTGATGCCTGAGTTTAATATTGCTTTCTCTATCATTAAAATTGCTAACACCATAGCTTTGGAAATGTAAATTTGAATACTTAATTATGTTGCTATAAACAGCCACTCTAATGCCATGTTCTCATCGACAATGATGGGCCTTCTTCCAGGGCTGGCATCTCGAGCAATCACGCTGTCTACTTTCCTGTTGTATATAAGAGGAAAAACATTCCCACCTGAGATCTCCCCCAAAGTTTCATTTGGAAAACAGAACATGATTAGAAATATGTTTCCAGTTGCACATTGCTCAAACCTAGTTTTGCCTTTACTTGGGCTAAATGATGCAAACATAGTCCAGCCTCCTTTCTAGGAGTGTGCAATTACCTTGAAGGCCCCTAGCAAAAAAAAAAAAAAGCCCTGGCTAATTGAGAACACTTGCTTTTGCTTGCAATTAGCAAGGATATCCTCTTATAAAGAAATGTCCCTATTTTTTTTTTTCCTGCAAAAAAGGTGGGTTTATCTTTAATGAACTAAGAGTTTGGAAGCTCTGCAAATTAAAGCATGCATATGCAGGTTATCTTCTTGCTCAAGGGGACATACACCACTGCTGTGTTCTTGTGAAGTAATAATGAGATACCATAAGCAAACAGTAGAAGATTCATGTCAGATGGTTCTCCAATAACATTAGAAAAAAAAAAAGCAGCTGATGTATGGGATATTGAAGGCAGATTAAGTTGTTAATGTATATTAGTATATTCTTAATTTCCTTTTAATTGAAAAAGACATATTGACTTTAATTAGAACCATTTCACAGGAACTGTCAATTAGCACATGTCAAACTAGTTAATTCAGAACAGAATTCTTTTAATTAGGGTCTGCTTTCCTTTAACTGTGGGGCCAATGAAATCAGCCTTTCCTTATCAAGATTTTAAATGTCTCTAAGACATACAATACAAATGTAGTCTCTTATCTATTATTAGAAGCCCATATGGATAACATTAAAATGATGATGCTGGCATTGTTCATGCAGCACAAATCAGAGTCCCTTTATGACTGTTTGAAAAAAAAATGGCTTTGAACAAAGACTATTTTAAATACACAGATTTATCCTACTTTAAAGAGACTACAAAATTTATGACATGCATGTTCACATTTAAAGTATTATTTAATATGTCTGCTCAAATAAATGGGCCTATTCAAACGTTTTGTGTGTTCTATCAGCCAAAGACACATAAAACATTGTCAAACCATACAGCAACATTTTTCCCTTAAATGAACTGTAATCAAAAAGGGAAAACAGTCTGAATGATTTTTTTTTTGCACAACATAAAAACAGCATTGTTAACTTTCATTGCTTCTAAAGATTTAATACCAAATATTTGAAACAGTGGCTGAAACCACTAGTGAGCTAATGTGATATTGGTAATCAGACAGCGTAAAATCTGAATCTTGGCTCTTGCCTAATGTAGATGTGAAATTACAGGGTCTTAGCCATAACTGTCATGAGGGAGGAGTTGCCCTGGGGCCTACACATTGGATAGATAAGGCCGGGGTTTCACCTGAAGTGTGGGTGTGTAAGAGAACAACATTAAGAGAGATATCACTGGGAAAAAAAAAAAGAATTAATGGGAAATCTAGCTTCGTTTTATCATGTGAGCTTTAGTCACCGTTTTACTGACCTATATCAAGTGAGGATTACAGAGATTAGTGAAAGGAATACTTAATAGCTCAACTGTGCGTTCCAAAGAGGATTATCTAGTAAGAGATTTTATGTATCCTGATAGTTGTTCCTCCTCCTATAGGGCTGATTAACTCAACTCTGAAGATAGCATCCTTTTCCAGAGTAAGATATACCACTAGTGTGGTAGTAGCTGTGTATTTGCCAACAAAGTGAAATGGAGAATTATATGCATTGAGTGAATTTGATCCACAAAAGTATTTGCATTGGCTGATTCATGTAACTCCCAAAGTAATTCAAGGAAGTCCAAAAACCTTCAAAAGGAAGACATATTTCGTTGACAATCTGCCCTTCCAACCCTATCTTTCCTCTCAATAGCAGGTTCCTTCATTGCTTCCCTCTCTTACAACTATCTATACATCTATACAACTATATCTCTATCTTACAACTATCTATGTTTTCATTTTCTACTTCACTTAGAGTAAACACACTTTTCAGTTAACCCTTTGTTCAGGAAAGGTTGAGGACTCAGATAAGTTATTGAATAGGAGAATTTTAGATACACAATAAAATTTCTCCAAAAAAAACTTCAGCCACCTCTGTGGAAGGAGTAAGCCCTCTTCACATTAACTAAATGTGTCAACACGTCCAATCAATTTGAACTTTGTTGAAGGATTTCATTTCTCATTACAGATCTTGACAGCACCTGAGTAATCTGATACTAGCAAGATTTTCCCACATATTACTCTCTTGTTTTATCTCTGCCAGTGACTAACATGGCTACATTTTGATCCATACATATTCACAAATCTTATACAAGTCTGTAGCAGTGACAAGATTAGTAATTTTGTACAACATTGGCCTTTGAAGAAGCCATTTATTGAGATATTAGTATAGTTCATCCTGAAAATAAGTTAACAACTTAATATGTTCCATATGACCTATTTACAGCTCTATTTTGGCATAACCCTGTCATATATATTCATAAATAATATTATTGTGGTCTCATTTGAAGTTTTGCTCATAAATTTAAATATCACCACTTGAAAATATTTTTACAGAAGATATAAGGAGCATTGACACAAAACTACTAATCCCCCATCTTTATGCCACAAAAAGAAATAATGCTTATTGTTTTAGATAACTTTTTAAAAAAGCTTATCCATGATTAATTGTCATATTATTAAGTATGATTAGAAAAAAAATTAGAAATTCACTGAGAAATATATTATTTATATAACATCTTACAGTTCCAACACATAAATTTTACATCCACTCTATCATTGAAACTTCACTAGCAACCCTATAAGATTGTTGGTGCAGGTGTTATCATCTCTATTTTATAGGTGAAGGAACTGGAACTCAGTTAAGTGACCTGCCCAGGGTCATTCAGGTCATCAGAGGGGTTAGCTGAGAATTGAACCTAGACTCCTCTGACTCCAGGTTGGTGGTTTAAAAAATATTACATATGTATGTATACGTATATAACATTACACTACCTCTTTGCCTCATATGCTGTACTGCTTTCTTGTGACTTAGTTGATAAATCTTTAAGCTCACACTGGCAAAGGACTATGATTGAACACTTGCATTTCTCTCAAACCTCTGTTGACTAAGCAGGGCGAACATGAGCAGAGGGATAGAAGAAGAAATCCCAACAGCTTTCTCAAGCCTCCCAAGTGGGCCTTCACAGTATGGCTTCATTATTTCATTTACAGCATTGTGAATTCACAGCTGCCAGACAAATCCATACTGAAATGTAAGTATAAAGTGCATTCCAAAGCCAAATGCAAATATTCTTCCTAGTCTCCATTTGTGGATTTTTGTGCCAGTGTTTCAATTTGAATATTTGGATATTTTGGGTATTTTGGGCAGGTCCTTCTTTCCCCAAATATTAGCCCAATTCCACTGGCTCTCAGTTTACCATTATAACTTTAATTTTTCTAAGTCTTGAAAGCGTTTGCTCTGCAAGAGTCCTCTATTAAATGCATCCCCTTCCACCACCCTAAGTAATGCTTCAGTTACCTGTTAATAGTTTAGCAGAGATGAACAGGAATAGCTACCAGGATTTGCATCTGGGAAAAGGGTATTTGTCTAGGGTACCAGGGGAAAGGGGCATTGATAGGGGAAGATAGGAGAGCTCTAAAGACAAACTCCATCTACTTCACAATTTGTCCCCAGGGTTGACTGGATGATTAAGATTTGACTGGACTTCAAGTATTTGATTTTTCAGCAAATACTTGAAAATAGATCAAACATGTTAGAATTATTCTCTGATGCCTGAGAAGGATATGTTAAAGCTGAAGTCCAAACAGAAACTGGTGTCTTCAGGAGGGATGAAAAATTAATACATTCAGGAATTGGGTTTGCTTATAGTTCTCTCGTGAAGGATAAGAATTTGTTAACTAAAATCAAGGTAGAGGGTCTCATTTAATCTGTCATTACATGAAGATATTGATTGAACCTGGATCCCTGATGCAACAGGACAATATCCCGTTTAAAAGGAGCTGTAGCTATGCACTTCCTGATTCTTTAATTATCATAGGTATGAAGGGAGCATGGACCAGGTGCTCTGGTGCACAGGCCTATGCACTGTGCATACCCATAAATATGGAGCCATGACTCTTTTGTTCAAACAAATAAAGGTTTTGCATCCACAATGTAAGTATAAATAGTTTTGAGAGAATGCTGCACTGGGAAGTCAGGAAGACATGTTCAAATCCTGCCTCCAACACTTTACTGGATGTATGTCTCTGAGCAGTCACTTAGCCTCTCTTGGCCTCAGTTTCCTCTTCTGTAAAACAAGAGGGCTGGCTTCAGTAATTTCTAAAGTTCCTTCTAGCTTGGTATCTATCATCCTAATTTTGTTTCCTTCTGCAGACATCAGTGTTTGTTATGTAATGATGCCACACTCTCCCCAACTCTTAGAAGCAACATGCACATGTATGCACTAGATAAGCCTATATGTAACAAATTACAATAGCAACACGTATAAAGAAGAGAGATTTTAAGATTTATTTACTATTCAGCACTATGGGCCCCATAAATCATACATGTAAACTCTCTTTAAAAAAAGATTTTGGATTTATTTTAGATCAGACTATTTTTTCAGATCAATATTTTGATAATAGGATTAGGAATTTTGATAATACTAACTCATTACTGAATGTCAAAGGCATATGCATTAACAGTAGTGAGATCACCAGAATCAGCTCCATAATACTTTAGCTTCTTGATTTTCTGTAGGAATGCTGAGGCCCTTGTCAATGAGAAGCTGACCCCCAAGGCATGACTATTAAAAAATTATTTTAAAGGCTACAAGACACACGGATTTGACTTAACTTGATACTCTTTTACAACTGAGGTTCTTAATAAAATTACATTTTTACTGACTGGTCACATGAATCCTGTGCTGATCATGCATTGTTCGTGAATCAAACCAAGAGACATTTAAAAATGGCTAGCACTAGGGAAACTTAATAGCTTTTCTTTTTTTTTAGCAGATTAGTTAAATCACTGTAACTATGATTTCAAATAATTTATATCCAAACAGAAAGACTCCAGTGAGCCACAGAAGACACCCTTGCAAGGAAAGTAAATTTTAGATTAAAACTCATTCTATTGCTGGGTTGTTGAAGAATTTTTAAAATGGAGAAATGCTCTTTCATTCTCTCCTAAATCTTTTATATGAATGGAATTATTGGGCAAAATAAAATTATGTGTGTGAGTACATGAATTTTTAGTCTATCCTATGTATGTATATGTGATTGTACAAACATGTATTTTCTAGCTAATGTTCAACAGGCTAAAAGCCCAACATTTCATGTATATTGCATGATTGACTTGGTAAATTAAACTCTCCCTGTTTCAAGAATGAGTGTATTGAGGGAGATTCTTTTATTTTGTTTCTCATTGAATATTAGCCACACCTTCAGGTTAATGTTCAACATCAGTCTGCTGCCCAACAATTAACTGTACCATATAGCTTCAAAGAATGTTAGAGTTGTAAAATACCTTGGGATACTCTAACCCAAGCCCCTTAATTTTACAGATTAAGATACAAAGGCAGGGAGAGTTGAAATGACTTGGCCAAGACCCTATTGCCATGTAGTGGCGGACCCCCTGTCCATCTTCTGAATGCCCACCTCATCTAACTTTTGTGAACCACTAACGTCCATCAGCAACATTCAGAATGAATTTTAGCTTCCACAGTATAAAGTAATGAATCAACCGGCACATTCAACCAGAAATCTGAATTGTCCTGAAGGATGTAATTTCTGAAGATTGCAACAGATCTTGAGAATACCTTAAAAGTAGTTTACTAATTAGCAGGTTGTATGTATTGACACATCTGTTGACAATCTAGTTCTTTTCTGACTTAACTGATTCCAGGATCTACATTACAGACCCTTAGCACATCAAAAGGCTGTTTAAATTAACCATGGGATCAAAAGATTAAATATGATTACAATTTATCACTTTGTTCATTTAAACACTGTTTTCATGAGCCAACAATGCCATGTCAGGTAGGAATCCATCTGTTAAGTAAACAACTCTCTTGGTTGAGAATAAAAATGTCAACACAGGCAAAATACACTCTGCAAATGCTTGATGCATATTAACAGATTCATTATATTATTGTCCTGCATGCTTGAAGATGACCCTTTATGATAATTTTCTTATTGTGACAATGTGATTGAAAGCTCTTATTGCCAACAGTCCTTACTTCATGCTGTATTTTGTAATGATTAGCTAATGAGGTAGGACTTTCTGACAGGATGGTGATATACTCTCTAAATAAGCAACTTGACTGTTTAGGATGGTTGATAAGTTTATGGATTGTTTTCCCACTGGCTACTCATCCGATTTAGCACTCAGTTTAGGAAGAGGCTTGCAAAACGGCTTCCATTGACAATCTCACCTGCAATTTTCAACAGTATAATTTTTAATCTCCTGGTGAGAAGTCATGTTCATGGTATAAATAGTAACCGGTGTGCTAGTTCAACAATAACTTTCACCTTCATTTTGAAGACACTGATTTTGTTTCTTAGGTCTATTTTCTTCTAGCAATTAGAAGGCAATGGGATCATTAGGTGATTTATATTTTTAGGAAAGTATGTTACAGGTAACTTGAGAGGGGGCAAAAATGGGCTTATTTTATTTTGTAGCAAAGATTTAAAAATTGGAAAAATAAAGCAACATAATAATATCTAATGAGGGAAATGTTGTGTGCAGATGTCTGTTTGTCTATTAATCCCCCAAAGGACTGTATCCTTTTATTTATATGAGTAACATCAGAAACAAACATGTTACCAAAAATATATTCCACTTAAAAGAATGGATAAACACAATATGAATTTAATGGCAAAAAATAAGTTTTTAAAATGGATTTTAAGGTTTTGAATGTGAAAAGAACTGTAATTTTTACAAGCATGCAGTATGGTTTGTAAATATACCATTTCCCCTCTATGGGCCTTTGTTTCATCTCCTGTCAAATGAGGGAGGATTTTATTAGATGATCTCAAAGGCCCCTTCTACTAACACTCTGACTCTGTACGTGCTACTCCCATGAGTCATGTGGTGATCGCATTCTATACAGCTTTTGATGTGGTAGCAAAGTGTAAACTAGGGTCCAAGTTATGTACATTTTACATGATGCAAAGAAACCTAATTTCATTTTAGTTGTTTCTGAAGTCTCCGTCTAGGCACATTGGCAACCAATTTCATTTTCATTGCAATGCATGAATAGCAAAGTCACATACTCTTAAGTTAATTCAAAGGGCATAAGGAATGGAAGGAGAAAAATATAATTTTTGTTGTTGCTGTTGTCATTTGAAATTTCCAGAGTGTCTTTGCACATTGGGCACCATTTCATTTTTATTGCATTGCACTGAGAGCAATGTCACATTTCATTAAGTTAACACCAAGTTAGTAAAAAAGAAAAGCAGAATATTTTGCTGCTATTACTGTTGTTCAAGATTTCTGTCCTGTAGATACTTATTTTTTATGGCGACAAGTTATTTTAATAGGAGAATGCATTAGGAAAAAATGTGGCTTTTTTAGCCAAATTAGCTACTAACTTAAGCTTTGACCTGTGATTTTGTGTGCTCCCTGGGCTATGTGAGGGTAAATAGGTCAGTCTACTAGCATTGGAAACTCTTTTATGACCAACTGGCCAAGGAAATGATAAAACTCAAATTATCCTTCTCTAGACTTGCCATATTTTCTATTGAATATATGGAGACTAACCAAGAGCCTTAGCAGATTGGTTGGTAACCTGAGCTGCCATGTTTTAGGGACCATCAAAATAGTGTACCTTAAAGAAATAGTATAGTTTAGTTATATAGATGGTGATTTTCCATGGGTTGCCCTGAGGTCAGCGCTTAGTATATATGGGTTGGAAAAGCCTCCTTTCCAATTAGAGCCAGTGTGGCATGGTGGAAAGCTTACTGAATTTGGAGTTTCCAGGCCTGACTTTGTGGCCTTGAGTAAGTTACTTTCCCTCTAGGGGCCTCAGTTCCTTCATATGTAGATTGAGGGTATAGGTCTAGATGATTTCTGAAGTCCCTTCTAGCTATAATAATATTATTATTAACTATAATGTAATATAATGGTATACTATATTAATTAATACAATATTATAATGTAATATAATGTAATAATATATAGTATTATAATACTAATAATAGTTAACATTTATATAGTGCTTTAAGGTTAGCAAAAGCACAACTCTGGAAGGTAGATGATAGTATTACCATTTTCATTTTACACATAAGCAAACTGAGAATGAGAGGTTTGATGATTTGTCCAGGGTCAGACAGCTGGTATGTGTCTGCTATATGTATCAAATACTTTATAACTTGCACCTCTTAGTTGCTCTGTAATCTCCGATTCTATGAAATTCAAATTCAAATTCAAATCCAAGGAGTGTTTATTTAAAGCCTAACACATGTGAGATGTCCACTAATGTCTAATGCTTTGTCCTGACAGTGGCGGTGACCCTAGCTAGTTACTTGAAGCCAGTGCCAGATGAACACAAGCTCTGACAGTTTCTACCAAGGTTCTGAATATGCCCTAGCAACATATTGTATGTCTGTCACCTCAGGAACAGCATAGCTAAATTCGGAAAGTCTCATCTCCAGAAGGTTGGCTACCAGGTAATGATTTTTTTTGGCCGCATTAATTCATAAAGATTCTATGAAGACTTGGAGGGGTTATGATTTGAGCCAGTGGAAGGAGTATTCCCACTAATGAAATCACAGACCTTTCAAAATACTGAAGCTATGTGTATAAGGTCATATGTTAAAACAGGGAGCTAAGGTCCTAGGTTAACATGAGGACTGAGGGAAATAAAAAAAGTCATGATTATAATATAAAGGAGAACGTAATGAATGCATGAGAAATACAAAGTGTTATACATTATGTGATTTAAAGTTTGGAGGGACGATAGAAATCACTTGGTTCAATCCCCTCATGTATAGATGAGTAGAGTTCCAGGTGTAAAGTGGCTTGCCTAGGGTCACATAGGCAGTAAGTAGCAGAGACAGGATTTGAATCTAGTTTCTCTAATTCAAAATTCAATGCTGTTTCCTTTACACCATGCTGGTGTTTAGTTGGAATGATTATCTTAGATTTGGTTGGGGTGGACCAGAGAAGATTTCCTGCATCAAGTGGCATTTGGGCTGGGCCTTTGAGGAAGGTAATAATATCTTCAGTGCTTAGTTTTAGAACTATGACAGATATCAATAAAATAAATTTGCCCATAGTTATCTTGTGTTAAACATTTTTCATTAGGTCTACTAGTGTGAAACTAAGGTGGAGCAGTAAAACTGTACGGCTGTGTCCTGGGCTGACCTGAACGAGAATAAATAGCCATTATCAAGACATTTTTTGAGGGGTACCCTCTACATAATCTAACCTACTTGAAATTCCTACCCATAGTCATTTCTTTGAGTTAAGGTATTGTCCACAGAAATACTATATTAAAACACAAATATGTTCCCTGGGATGCATAATACAGGAACCCATTAGCACCTATTAATACCTTAGGATAGAATAATTTGTCAGATTAACTAACTGCCACTTAAAGTCCCAGGACAGCAGAGTGTGGAGGTACCTTAGAAATTTTCCTTTATTTATTCCTCTTCCTTTATTTTATAGCTAGGGAAATGGAGGCCGAGGAGCCAAGTGACTTGTCTAAGCCACACATCTAATCAATAATCAATTGACAAACATTGATTTAGCTCCTTGAGAAAGTAGGAATTATGCTGATCAATGCAATGGCCAATTGTAATTCCAGATGACTGTTGATGAAGCATCCTATCCACCTCTTGCCAGAGAGGTGCAAAAAGGGACCTTCCTTTTTTTTTTTTTTGTCACGGCCAGTGATGGAATTTGTTTTGCTTGTTTAGGTATATTTGTTTCAAGAGGTGTGTCTTTCTTCTTCTTCTTCTTCTTCTTCTTCTTCTTCTTCTTCTTCTTCTTCTT